TCTCTTGTTCTGTGTTCGCTAGTTGGGAGAAAGACCTCTCAACTTGAAAAGGGGAGGGGAAAAAGAAACACATCTTAAAGGTGGAATTGAAGCCCAAGATGGGTTAGGAGACAAGAAAAGAGCACTAGGTAGCTTTAAATGAATTAAGAGTGTCTGGACCCAGACAAATTACATTCCAGGGTACTGAAATAACTTGTACATGTTGTCACACAACCCCTGTTAGTAGTCTGGAGAAATAATTGTGAAGCAAGCGGGAGAGGTGTCAAAGAAATAGAAATAGACAAATATTGTCAACATAAATGAAAAGGTGGATATTACAAGCTTAGTGGCTAAGAATTGTGTTGCTTCCTGGCTAAAGTCTAGATCAGATTATTAAATCAGATTGTAATCTTTGTGAGCATTTAGAAAACAAAAGGTGTGGTGGATTCACTGAGAAAAAAATCACATACAACTGATCTAATTTCCTTTTATTTTAAGGTTACTAGACTGGTAGATTGGGAATGCCACAAACAGTTTATCTTGATTTTAGCAAGGTATCTGACAGAGTCTCTTGTGATAACTCTGGGCAAGATGAAGAAAGTGGAGTGAATGATAGTACCATTAGGTGGATTTGCACTATTTTAACATGTGAATTTAAAATAGCTCTGATTGATGAAATTAATCAGGGTTTCAACCTTGAAAAGGAAGTTGGACTTAGGGTTTGTTTTTGCCATGTTAGATGTTTTAATCAGTGATGCAGATAAAGACATGGAAGTAAGTCATTTGTTGCAGATTTTCAAATATCACTAGCCTAAGAGGAGAAGCTAATGTGATGGATAACAGAATCAAGACTCAAAGTGATCTTGACAGTCTGGAATGATGGAATGAAACCAATAAGATGAGAATTTACAGAGATAAATCTAGCATCTTTCATTTACGCTGAACACATCAGTTGAACAAATAGAGGATGGAAGCCACCTAGAGTGACAGTAGCTCCCATGAGAAAGATGCTTATTTCTTTTTATTCTTTCAGTATCAATAAGCAGTGGGATGCGCAGTCTCTGGTCACTTTAAAGTATAGTGTTTAAATCATGGAGGATGGCATTCCCACTGTACTCTGTTTTGGTTTTGATGTGGGCAACATTTCCAAAAGAGTAACAGACAAGAATATGTTCAGAAGATATTAACCAAGATGGTGAGAGTTCTGAAAACCATATCATATGAGGAAAGACTTGAGAATGTTTAGCCTGAAGAAGTGACTACTTATGTGAGGCATAATTGTTGTCCTTTGGTATTTAAATGATTGTTTTGTGGAAGAGGAATTACATTTATTTTGTCTAACTCTGAAAGGCAGAAATAGAGCTAGAGGATGGAAGTTACTGGGAGTTTTATGCCTCTGGAACCAGAGGCCTTGGATTCATATCTCTCTTTCTGTGACTGTTAATCTAATCTTTCTTTGAGGATCTTGTAGCACCTTAGGGGGATTATTATAAATATTGATGATTATGATACTGTATTTGGGGTGTAGATATGAAACACTAGGCTGACTCTCTTAAGCCAAACATTTAACCTAGAATTTTAAAAAATACTAAGTAAGTCTTCCAAATGGTTTTTTTTTTTTGGGTGAGGCAATTGGAGTTAAGTGACTTGCCCAGAGTCACATAGCTAGTGAGTATTATGTGTCTGAGGTCAAATTTGGACTCAGGTCCTCCTGACTCCATGGCTGGTGCTCTATCCACTGTGCCACTTAGCTGCCCTAAGTAAATCTTCATTAATTTCCCCCCCACAATTTGTGCCTTCTAAAAAGTGTTGGGTTTTTTTTTTGTTAAAGAGATGGCTCTTTGAATTAAGGGAAGAAGCAAAGAGTATCTTCAGAAATTAATATCATGTAAAAACAAAAGGTATTAGTGGTAAGATTTTAATTTTTTACTCTCTTAATATTTTGTGTTTTACTCCAGTTACTTATAAAAACAATTTTTGGCATTCATTTTTTAAAATTTTGAGGCCTAAATTTTCTTACTTGCCTCTGCCCTCCTCTGATATGGTAAACGGTTTGACATAGATAATACATGTGCAGTCATGCAAAACATGAAAATAAGATTTTTGAAAAGTAAAGTGCATATAAGCAGGTCCAACTAAAATGGGACTTTTACTGTACGTTGATTAAAGATAGGCTTGCAAATAATTTGAGGCAGCTGGATGATGTACTGAATAGAGACCTGTGCCTGAGTTCAGATCTATCTTGGACACGTCTTAGCTGTGTGACCATGGGCAAGTCATTTAACCTCTGTCTACTTCAGTTTCCTCAACTGTAAAGTGAAGATAATAATAGCACCTACCTCCCAGGGTGGTTGTGAGGATTAGATAAGATAATATTTGTAAAGTGTTTTACAGTGCCTGAAACATAGTGGGTGCTTAGTAAATGCTTATTCCCTTCCCTTTCCCTCAATTTGGGTAGACTCAGATTTCTTGAAGTTCCATTATCGGCCTGAATATCACAGTGATTCTATTTCTACTCACTAGTGCTGCCTTTTCCTTTTCTTAGTTGGTTTCCAACTCCTCCATTTTCTCCCTATTTATTACTAAACTTAAAGATTAAGACCTGTTGACCAGTCAGCAAATTAACAAGCATTTATTAAGTGCCTACTATGTATCACACATTGTGCTAGGTGTTGGGAAACATAAAAATGAGCTGTCAAAATTTCTTGAAAAGAGAGCTTTTTTAAAAAAAAAATCCCATCTTTTCTCATATCTCTTGGCTTATTATGATTTATAATTTGTTTGTCCTGTGAAGGTAGATGTCTTTGTTTTACCTGCCTTGTCTTGTCTAGTTGAATACTATGTGTGGTGAATTGTTAGTCAAGAGTATTAATTGGTTATGGTCTTCATTTCAATAATAGGATTATTAGGTACGCTACTCTTCTCAGAGGAAAAAGAGAATTTTTATTTTTAATGCCAACTAGTCTCTAAGAAAGAGTCCAGATCTCATAGACTAAGAACATTCAGGCTAAAAGGAGCCTTAGACTGTGTGCTCCACAAAGCAGTTAAGTGCCAACGCTGGACGTGGATTCAGGAATACCTGAATTGAAATCTTGCCTCAGATATTGAGGGAAGTGACCCCTGAGCAAGTCAGTTAACCTCTCACCCTTGGTTTCCTCATTTACAAAATGAGGATTATGTCACCTACTTCCCAGGGTTATTGAGTCAAAATGAGATAACACATGTAATGAACTTCATAAACCTCAGAAAAAAGATTATATGCTCCACAATAGGAGCCAACATATGCAGACACTTAGGGCAATCAACAAGGCTGGAGGAAAATCCACCCAAGGCAGGAATCTACCCTTGCACACCCATGACAGAATTGCTGACATATTCTAAACTTCTTCCATGTGCTTATGGGAAGAGTGAGTGAAGTTTAGATGGTTCTATTTTGATCAAGTGCTGAACACAGCACATCTGGGATTCCCATATAAAATCCATGTGTTGAAAGGGTGCAGTCAAACTGTATATTAGCAATTACAGAAATCAAATGAATCATAAAAGTCTGAGTTTTTTTTGCCTTTGGCTTGCTTTCAAAAAATGCTGGCATCTTTTAAGACACTGTCTTGAGTGCCATGCTTTTTGCAGCATCACTTTTTAGAATGTTGTTTGGAAGACGTGGCCGTTGTAAATGTCTCTGGATTCCTAGGTCAGATGATCACAGCTAACTTAGGTCTCTGAAGAAATAAAGTTTTCTGAGAAACAGGAGTATTTCTTAATTTAGTCTTGCAAAGATAATTCAGCAAACTATATTTAGATTTCCTAAGTAAGCTCTCTGCTCCTTCATTGCAAGTTGCATGTTAATAACAGCTCGTTATTTCTTGTTTAACTTTTGGGAACCAGTAATTCATCCTGTACAGGTAGTGTAAAAAGTGTACCCAAAAGAATGTAGGGCAGGAGACCTGGATTAGCATCTCCATCTTACCACTAACTCACTGTGTATTCCTGGGAGGATGACTTCATTTCTTTGAGCATGTGACAGCTACTTAAGAAGCACCAAGAATGGGAAATAACATTTTGACTACTTTTTCCTTCAATTTCCTGTTTTTTGTTTTGGGAGGCATTATGGAAGAGGACAATAGTACTTGCACTGCTGAGCTCACAGGTTTGCTGTCAGGTTCAAATTAGATAATGCATGTGTTACATCAATGTCATTTGCTACTATTATGGTTGAAGGTGGTGACCATCGGTCCTCAAAAGTTATGTTATTGAACACCAGCTCTGGCATGTCTACAAATTTAGAAAGATGTGAAATGCAGGCCAAGAAGTGGATTGTTTGCCTGGTATTTGAGTGCCAGCCTCATTTCAAGGAGAATCAGTAGCAGATATATTGGCCACCAAGTGATGGAATTTTTGACCACAGCAATTCATAAATCTACCTATTAAGAATATGGAGGGGTTGTGTATGATGTCTATCGGTGGAGGAAATTCCCTCACTGATGAAATCTCACAGCTCTTTTAATGTATAAAGAAAAAGATTAAGGCAGAAATGTATACCCTATATAAACCCTACGTTTGTAGAACTGCCTTACTTAAAATCAAGGTGCTTGGGATATTTTTCTAGGAAATTGAACTTGTTTTAGTTTGAGATTAGGAAGGGAGTATTAAGAGAGTTAGTACTGATAAAGTAGAGGCATCTTTGAAATCCAGAAGACCTAGGTACAAGCCTTGACTACAATACATATTTATCTGTGTGACAACTAAGCAAAGTACTTGACCTCTTAGTGCCCCAGGCATCTCTCTGAGATTAAAAGCCACAGAAGAGTTGATTTGCATTGGTGGAAGGACCTTCCAAACTGGGAATTCTCTACACTGATAAAATCTTGGAGGAGATGAATAACTTTGTCTACGGTTTGAACATCCTAGTCTCCATCTGGTCCTTCTAACTTCCCTTCTTCTTCTTGCTTTAGTTATGAAATCAGTAAAGCATAATATATTTCGTATAATTCATATTGCTATGGAAAATCACTTTCTTTCAGGATTGAGCATTTTGCCAAACTCTACAGCCAAAAACTTGGCATCAAAACCGATGTTCTTCTGAAGACCTTATGGGGAGATTATTACCTAAATACAAAATCAAAGAAGATTATGAAAGCTGACCAGGTAAATACATTAAAATGAAGAAGCACTTTCTAGTGGGACTCACTATTGATATAAAGAAAAATAAATCTTTGAGGTTTTCTACCAAGAGATATAAGTAGTAGCTGATATTTAATGTTCTTCGTTATTCAGTGTAGTATGGAAATTATGACCTTAATAAATTTTTCAACATATGAGCACAAATACCAGTAATATTCTCTTCATGTAGGTTCATTTATGCCATTTCACAAATTTTTCTGGATTTTGGAGATGAAGTTGTAATGTTGAACATTGAAGAAAATTATGTCTGTATTCAAACAGTCACAGAAAATGTGGCATATAACATTTTGATATTTAGCTACATTCTTTTCCTTTGAATATCTTATATCATTTAATAGCTGTAATAGTCTTAATTCATCTTTCATTTATGCTGCTCATGTCATGAAAGTTTTTTACTCTTCGAAGTTGGTTAACACTTACAAGCTTTCTTTATGTGCTTAGATAAGAATTTTTGTTGTCCTTTTAAGTTTCCATAGCATAACAACTCATTTCTTCATAGTTTGGAGTGAAGAGATTCAGGTTCAAGTTCTGATTTTGTGTGACTTCCCCTTCTGTTTTTCTGCATCTCTATAAAGTTAGAAGCTTCGACTTTCTCTCTTATAGATCTAAAAAACTGTATTGTTAAGGTCACTTAGCTACACAAGAGCTCTGGGGAAATGATGGAAAACCACACATTTTATATGTCAGAGATTGTATATTTTCCATTTACCATACATGTCTCAGCAATCTGGGGCCACTTAGTGAAGTGGCAAACATTCTTTGGCATTTCATTGGTCCCTTTGGGGCTCTGTGTTGTAAATGCAGTACAGTATTTGCTATTCATAATGACGGCTCTGAGGTATAAAGAAAATGTTAAGTTATGTTTAGCATACTCTGTATAAATAGGAAGTGGGAATGACATTGTAGAAAGAGTTCCATATGAATGGGCTACTCAAACAGAATTAAAACTGAAACCACCTTGGTTCCTTTACTAGGGTGGATAATGCCTCTATTGAGCATTTGTGGCAAAAGCAATGGAAGTAGCCATAGAAATTAATGTTGGTTGAATTGAATTGAAATGGAAGCATTAATGGTGGAGCAGCTGCAACAGCAAGGCTTCCCTTTTTTATTGTTAAGCATTATTTGTGTTACTGTTTACCACCATTGGTATGGATAATTGAAACTTGGCTCTGAGTGTGGAACTACAGGTTATGCCAAACTGAAAATTAAGTTAAGTAAATATTTGCAAACTGATGAGACATATAGTTGATAAAGAATCGAGTATGAAATTGAATCATGTTAAGACATCTGTCAAATGTTCAAGATCTCGAGAGACAATCTGGTAGAGACCAGAGAGCACAGAAATGAGAACACATGGGTGGGAATTCCAACTCTAGCACTCACTAGATTGGTGATCATGACCAAGTCAGGCCCCCTCTTTACACCTCTGTTTCACCTGTAAAATTGCTGTTGATATCCTTTCCACATTATTGGGGATGTTTATGTGGAAAGCCTTTGTAAAATATGAAAGTGCTATATAAATGTGAGTTGTTATTATTCCAACCATATATATATTCTTTCTTACAGACAAAAGGAAAGAAACCTTTATTTGTACAGTTAGTCCTGGAAAATATATGGAGTCTCTATGATGCAGTCCTGAAAAGGTAAGATTATTATACAGTGTTTGATATTCTGATCAATTCTGTTTGAATAGTATGCTAGTCTTAGGTACTTATCATGTTTTAAGAAGAGTGTGGTTGACACAGAAAAGGGATAGAAGTTTTCAACAGATTTGATTGCAGTTGGTGAACCAAACATTACTGTTAATATTAAGCCCGAGTAAAATCATGGCCAAAAAGTGTAATTAGCCAAGATTGTACAAGGTGGTGTGGTGGTAGGATGATGATAATAGCTGTGTGTTTTTAACAAGAAAGATAGGGGTTGGGGTCAATTTCTGTGAAAAAAAAAATTGACATCCATGCCCATTATAAGATTAATTTGATAAAATTTATCTGCAACAAGTAGAAATTAAAGTTAATTTTATTGTTATAATTCCATTCTGAATGATAGGTTAATAATTTTATTTTTCACCATTTGCAAAGATATATTGTTGGTAATGTGGTTTGTCATAAAAGAGTTTTGGAATCTCCCATTTTTTAAATTGAAAAAAAAGCAGGTTATTTATCATCTTTTATTGGAAAAGTAAAGATTGGGAACCAATAGGTAATTAAATTTTATCTCTGTTTCAGTGTGTATAGAAATATAATCTTGTGTTTTTGTTTTCTTGAACAATTATAGGGACAAAGAAAAAATTGATAAAATAGTAAGCTCATTGGGATTAAAAATTGGAGCCCGAGAGGCACGTCATTCTGACCCTAAAGTTCAGATCAATGCCATTTGCAGCCAGTGGCTTCCAATATCAAATAGTGTTCTTGGTATCCTTTTTGAAATTCCCTGCTATTGATGAGCCATGAAAACCTTTGAAAATAAGGCTCTCCAAGCTGAAGCTTTTTATGGTAACGTAATGAGCTTTTTTTAAGGCCTTGCCTATGATATTTATTTTTCCCTGTAGGGATTCCTTTTATCCCATAACACCTCTTCAGACTAAATCTAACATGTGTAGGGAAGAAGGTGACCCAGATTTATCAAAGGTAACCTACATTTGTCATATTTATTATCTATAGTTTAACAAAATGCATTTTTTCCCCTTGAGTATCACTGGTTAATTTGAGAATGGTTTCTACTGGGAATTTGGTTCCATTTGAATATAACTGTATCTTCAACTGATCACTGTTTCTTATCATTATGGCCTTTTTTCACTTGTCTATTCTTAACTGAGCTAGTTAATTAAATACATTTAGAGTTTTCCTTTTCCTGGGACACTTTAGTTGTTCAACACTCTTGTATGGGCCTGGATAACTATATACATTTGAATATTTGTAAATCAGATCATCTTAATTGAAGTTATGAAAATGGATGTTTCAAGGAAGTCTTAAAATGTTTTTCAGGTAAAATGAAAAGTAAAATGTTTTAAAATATGGATAATAATGCCCTTAATTTTTTAAAGTTCATATTCTTTTGTATGAGAAATGTTCATATTCTCTAAATGAGAAGCATAGTTACATAGTAGCTGGCCTCAAGGTCAGGGTTATGGAGACTTTGCCTTCAAGTTCTGCTTTTGACTCCTAAGCAGGCTAAGTCACCGGAAGCCACTTTACCCCTCAACACCCCAGACAACTTTCTAAGACTAGACGCTGCAGAATAGGTGCCCATTTACATTGGTTTTTCGTGAATTCTCGATATTTATTGAAATCACAGGTCCAGTCTGGATAAAATTTTTTTTCAAAAATTTTTTTTATAGTTTTCTTTAAATTAAATTTATCCTCAACCCTCTTCATTCTTATAGCAGCAGTTCTATGTTTGAGAATTTTTCTGTTTCTGAGGATTTTCTAGTACATATCTGCCAGAAATCTCTAGCTGTAAGTATCTATATAGTAATTGCCAGAGCCCTTATAATAGAATGAAGTCCTCTGATAATTGCTAGTATTTATTTTTGCACTAAACTATTAAAAATGAAGCTTTTTATTTGTTATACAGTAATTTTTTGCAATATCTGTATACTATATGAAGTGTAAATGTTCATTTGTACCTTGGGCAAATATACAAATCTGTAAGTTTCAGTTACAATATCTTTATCAATCAGTTGGGATGTTGCTCTGTTATACCTGCCACATTGGAGTGTGGTGAAGATCCAATATATTCCATGTGCTTTATTAACTTACATTTACCTGTAATCTGTCCATGATTATCATCTTGGTCTATATCACTTGATAATGACACCTTTTAAAAAGCTAGTACAAAGAATTGAGAGCAAGGTCTAGCCCATAGGCTTTGAATCCTTAACAGTAGGTTTTAGACATGGTATGTCAGAAACTCCCTAGTCCTCTTGACATCCCGGCTGAGCGGGTGGAGAGGCTGCTGTGCACTGGAGCAAGGACCTTTGATTCTCTTCCTCCAGAAACCCAGGAACTAAAGACAGGTAAGTTAAACATGAACAAGTTAACTTAGAAATGATTAAAGCCCATTCTGGTGCTACAGATCCAATATTTGGTGTTCTGGTCACTAAGACATTGTATAATTTCAGCTTTGGATCTAGCCTTGATGGTGATGGTTTTTAAATTCAATTCATCATGTATTTGAGCTCTGAGACTTTAGGATTGGGACTGCTGCATTTATTTCTTTGTCTGTCCAGCACCTACCACTGTGCCTGATACATCGTAAGAACTCACTACATGATTGTTGATTGATTGTGGTTGAGCCCATGATACTCATTCCAGTCCAGTGCTCTTGTCAGTTCTGGTTTTGAATGGATTTTCTCTCTTTAAGAGTAAAGACAAATAACACAGCCATATTGATGGATGTTTAATACTTAAAATATGATCTGCCGTCATTAAAATAATGTTAAAGCAGCTCTTAAGAAACATGTATATGTGGAAGCATTTAACCACAGCCTATGGTGAGCCAAGATTCCAAAAATAGGTATTTAGGCATGTTGAATGAGTTCTCAAGGAAATTGGTTTAGATCACTCTTGGGAAGAGAACTTTATCAGAAAATTGATTCTCACTTTGGTTTAAAGATGTAAGTGTACTTTGCCAGGAAGAAGTTCTGAAGTATTCAGTGGCAGTTTCCTCAAAACCCCATTTAAACTCCAGTACACCCTTCCTTCCTACAGACAATGTTGCTTTGCTGTAATATGGAGTTAGATGATGTTCTTACAGTTTTTAGGTGAAATCCACTGGGCTCTTTTTTTGGGGGGTGGCTTGTTAGGGTCTGGTCTAGTATCATGGAAAGTAAATTCTCAAATTGTGCATGTGTGAGGAATCATTTTTGATAGGGCACAAAGAAAGCTGACTCTTCTCTTCTCGTTGCCATCCTAAACTGGAGTGCTAGCAGGAAAATCACTATTGATAAAATCACAGGACACAAATTATTTATAGGCAGCCTGTGATTTAGGTTTGATTATATATTTGATGACTGATTGCATATTGATACATATGATTGATTACATATTTGAATAACATACAGAAATTACTATGCCATCTCCAGCTTGGGAGCTTCTACTTCTGGGCTATTAGAACCTTCCCTCTCATGTTGGTATGGCAATTCCTCAGTTACTGAAGCCTCTTCCAACACTAGCCCATTCTGCCATTGGCTTCAGAGCAGCTAGGGAGATTGGTTCTGGAACTTTAAAAGGTTATTTTTGAAACTGTTTCAAGAGAGTTTGGTGGTATTTCCTTATTAACAATATTCTGCCATCATTATATCTCTTACCATCCCTTGGATATGGAATTGTAGCATGGAAGTCATAGGATCATAGTTGTAGAGTTAGGAGGGATATGTGAGGCCACTTAACGCTTCAAATACTGTAGTTTGGATTACTTAAGGAAGGTTTGCTAAGTTTGCAGGCTATCCCCTATCTATGCTGTATGGATACTTGTTAGCTTTTCTCACAGAATGTGTCCCTTCTCTGGCTAGGATGGCCTGCCCTCTCCTGATTTATTTCAATTATTTCTTCTCCATCTTGGGGGAAGAAGGGGTCTTACTCCGGGGCCTGTAGTCCAACCACTCACTATAAATATCAGGCATACAAGTCAATCATTATAGGTTACATTGATTTTTTTTTTTCTGAGTGAAGAAGGGAAGCATTTTTGTTATCTGAAAAAACAGTCTTCCAAGTAGAATTTAAAAAATAATTTTTAAGATCGTGGCTTGGTTTTACTTCTAAGTGCTGTTTTGTCCTAAACCTCACTTATTCTAAAATTTTTCTTACAGTAGATGAAGAAAAAGGGTGACTTTTGTTTCTTATTTATTTAGCTTTTATGAAATGTGGAAGTGAAGACACAGCTCCAGTGATCATCTTTGTTTCCAAAATGTTTGCAGTTGATGCAAAGACTTTACCTTGTAACAAACCGAGGTAAGGCTCAAGGAGAAACTGGAGATTTCTCCTAGTGGGGCTTAGTAGCAGATAGGTGTATGTGTACTGGAGATTTTTCCTGGCAGAGTTAGTAGAAGGTAAGTATGTGTGTGCCAGAGGTGGGGAATGGGGTTTTAACTTTTCCAGACGAGCTCATAATTTATTACCACCAAGAATAAATTAAGGTTCACTCTCAATGACAGTTCACTCCTTTGCTTATAGCATATTCCCTTTGTAGTTGTGCCATATATATGGTACTATATTAATTAGCAGTTTCTACTGACATGCTGCTGTTTGCGTGTATCTAGTTATTTTGTGTGTGCTTCTTGCTTCCCTAATCATCTGTACATATGGAATCCAAAGCTGGAACAATGTTCTTGTGTGCTCTGTATAAGCTTATATAGTTGTTCTTCTCTGCATTTAAAAAGATGTCCCCTGTGTGCTTCTTTTCTGCTGGAGGTTTTGAGTTGTCAGTCTAGACATGTGACTTGCATTTTTTGTAGAGTAGCTACATACCACAAAGAACAGAATTTTCTCTCATTAAAAACATTTATCATGTTACTAGGATCTAAGATCTATGCTTTCTTCACTACTCCATGCTCTCATTGATTAGAGCAGCCTTAAAGTAATTCAGTAACTTAATCTGAGGCCCCTCTCTTCTCCACTGTCCACACCTTTAGGATGGAAAACAAAATCATCCCCAAACATAGTGACAGAAATTGTGACCAGTAGCAACAAAGGTGCTTACTGGATCTTTTAGCTGAAGTTATCTTTTCGTACCATCTAGGAGTAGTAAAATATGTTCCAGGCTGGGCAATTGACTAGACTAAATTGGGATTAGCCCTAGTCGGGATCAAGACAGCCAAATATTGTGTCTGTTTAGAGTACTGATATAACTATTGATTATATAATTTGAGGGGGGGCTATTAAAATTCATTAATTTCATTTTCAAAGAATGGAATTATTTTATAAGACTCTTGTTCAGGCAGGTAAACACTTTTATAATTGCGCAGTCACATTCAAAGTGAAGGAATACTTAAGTTTTCTTCTAGTGACTGGCATTTTATCATTTTAATTAGAATAGTATAATTTTTCAAACTATATTAGGCAGTAGCTACTGAAAATTTCAACATTGTGATACAGTCAGACTAGGCCTTTGATCCCAGGGAGCCCCTTGAACATGTGAAATGGAGTTTTAAATGGGTTTGACTTCTCTTGCAAATGATCCCTTCATATCTGTGGTATTGTGAATATTTTGACAGGTCTTTGGTGTGCAATGAAAGTAGATGCTGTGTGACATTTTAGAAAGAATTTGTTTCCTCTCACCAAATGAAGTGTTATTATTAATATAATATTTGGTGAGAGGAAGCAAATAATACTCGGCAGTTTTAGAAAGGTCTTGAAGCCAGTTCAGAACCTCTTGGTTTAAGTTTGTATAAAGTTATTATAGCATTTAATATTTAAATCTAAAGTTTTTAAAAACATGGAACTTTGTGAATGAAGGTCTAAAACTTGGACTTTTGCATAGATTTTACATTGGATCACTGATATGTATAGTTACACTACAACAGATTATAACATAGGTGTATCACTCTTTATTGACTGATACCTGTGGACTTTTATATGGTAAAGAACATTTCATATTCTTTATTTTTTAAAAAGACAGTCTTGTAGTTCAGTGAAAGAAGACTGGATTTGGAGACAGAAGACTTGGCCCAGCAACTTTACTGTGTAACCTAGGGCAAGTCATTTAACTTGGGTTCAGTTTCCTCATTTGTTAAATAAAGCAATTAGCCCTGATGATTTTGGCATCCTCCTGCTTAGGTGATGGCAGACTGGCTGAAAAGGCAGTGAAATATGTGAAAATAGTACCAGACTTTGAGTTAGAAGCGTGGAGTTTAAATATGCCCCTTACAAGCTGTGTGGTCTTGGACGAGTTCATTTCACCTCTGTCTCACTTCAAAATAATGACAAAACAACAACAGCAATAATAATAACAACAACACTAATAATAGCTACCATTTACACAGTGCTTTAAGGTTTGCAAAGTACTTGTCAAATATTATCTCATTTATCCCCACAACAATCCTGAAAGGTAGGTATTGTTATTATCCTCATTTTACAGGTGGGGAAACTGAGGCAGACACATTAAGTGATTTGCCCAGGGTTAGTGTCTGACACTGGATTTGAACCTAAGTCTTCATAACTCTAGGCCTAGCAGTCTGTGTCCTGTGCCACCTAACTGCCTCTAAAAGAAGAGTAGAATCATAGTGTACTAGAGCAATCAGGGATCTTTAGCGCTCCTGTAGCCCTATTCCTTCATTTTAAAAATAAGGAAATGAAGGTACATGTTGTAAAATGATTTATTCAAGATCATATGGCTAAGGAGAAGCGGTAGTCAGAATTTGAAGCCAGTTATCCTGACTTCCTGTCCACTCTACCATAGATAACATTGTCACTCCCTACCTCAGATGATTCTACTGAGACTCAAATCAGTGAGTATTTGTGAAAGTTCTTTGTAACTATAGAGTCTGCTAGGATCTATAAGTTCTCTTGTTCCTTTTTCTTTTGTTTCTCCTCTACTCCTGACATCTAACTTGTATGTCTCAATATAACTGAGGGAGGTAGCCCAATTTGCCTGAAGTCACAAAAAGGTGTAAATGACTAACATTAGATACTTTTCATAAGAGCAGATTTTGATAGTAGAAAAAAGTGACACAGAATGGGGTGTGGGGTCATCTCAAAGACGAAGGAGAGGAGGCTTCAGATGCTAGTGATCATTTTTCCATGCTTTATAATTTGCCTTAGCCTAGCTCATGATATGTTGGAGCCAGAAGAAATCTTAGAGATCATATAGTCCAACCCAGTTGCTTTATAAGGGAAGGAATTGAGAGAATCAGAGAGCTGGGTGGTAAACTGGATAGAGAGCTGGGCCTAGAGTCAAAAGACCTGAGTTCAAATGTGGCCTTAGATATTTACTAGCTGTATGACCCTGGGCAAGTCACTTAATCTTTGTCTGTCTCCATTTCCTCACTGTAAAATGGGGATGATTGGGGCAGCTAGGTGGCATAGTAGATAGAGCACCGACCCTGAAGTTAGGAGGACCTGAGTTCAAATCCGGCCTTAGACCAAACACTTGACACTTACTAGCTCTGTGACCTCGGGCAAGTCACTTAACCCCAATTGCCTTAAAAAAAATATAATAAAGTGGGGATAATAATAGAATCTCTTCCCTCCCCCCACCTCCGCCCCCGAACTCCCCAGGGTTGTTATGAGGATCAAATGAGATAATATTTGTAAAGCATTTAGCACAGGGCAGACCTGGGACTAGAGTTGTGCTCTCATGAATCCCTGGCTAATGCTTCATCAGTTGTAATTATCAGGAACTTAGAATGGTATGTATGCCCTGTGTCCTATTGTTTTCCCTATTCATTATTAGAATATTTTGCTTAAAGAGCATTAGTATAGCTGCTGACTCTCAAATCTTTGAGAATTGGGGGAACCTGGTACCGTTATTGTACTGGTCGTTCATTATCTGCAATTTTGATTCCTTTAGGCAGATGCCAGATGACAAGTTTGGAAGGTATGGTAACCAATCATTGTCTGCTCTTGGGCATCTGCCCCCCAGGGAATGCTTCCATCATAAGACTGTGTGGTATCCTGCCTCCTTTTTCAGGATTTTGTTGGATCTGTGAATATTCCATTGACCAGTGCAGATTACAAATCATTCATGTCTTCTTATCCAATATTATTGTTTTCCTTATCTTTCTATAAATCTTCCCTGAAGAGTCCAGCCAGTGTATTGAGTGTTGTCTTCTGTGTAGCATTGTGTGACTGTTCATCTGTTATCTCTTAAACTGCTGCTGCATGACCAGCGTACCATCTTCCAGGACAGTCACCTCTGGTAATATCCTTCACCCTAAAATCCATAGCTTCCCATTATCTTTTTGGGTCATCTGCAGTCCTGGAATTAGGTTGTTTCATGAATGTGTTGTTCCATGACAGCATTCCTGGGAATTTACTGTCAAAAAGATGGACTTTTGCAGCAGTGAACAACTTAGTATTGTTGAACCGTTTCTCAGGAGTGATTTAGCCTGACCAGTTCCTACTTAGTTCTGGCTCTGGTTTATTGTCCATCCATAGTGGTTATTCAAGATGTATGGAGTGCTGGATTAGAGTCGTTGGATCTGGGATTATTTCCTTCCTCTACTGCTTGTATTTGTGGGACTTCGGATAAGTCTTTTCACCTACCTGGAATTCTTTCCTTATCTATAAAATGAGGGAGTTGTAGTTGATGACATCCAAGATACCTTCCAGCTGTAAACCTGTGATCATATAGACGTACTTCAGTAATTGATGGACTAGTTTAATGGCCAGCTGTCTAGCTGCATACTTAATCTGGGGAGCAGTCTTCTGCCTGCCCACTTTTTGGTACAGATTTGTGATTTCATTGGTTTAGGCAAGGAACTCCTTTGATTGTTGAGGACACTGAGACATTAAGTGAATTGCCTATGGTCTGACAACCAGTATATTTCAAAGGTAGTAAATGTCTTCCTAACTCTGAGGGCCAGCTTTCTAGCTGCCTCTCACATCCTGACTATGCACTACTGAATCACTATGTGACCTTGGGCAAGTAATTTTACCCCCTCTGGAACTACTTCCCTCCCAAGTTAAAAAAAAGAGATTAGACTGGATTATCTCTAAATTCCATCCCATCTTTTAGTTAGAGATCCCATCTCAGTGTTAGATCTTCATTGGTATTCTCTCAATATCTGTCATGATATTACTCCTCTTAAGTAGAAATTTCATACCTAAACATTATATATACATACATATATATATACATATATATTATATATATGTATTTGTGTGTATTTATACACACATACATACATAGTTATATAGTTATACATATGTATGGATATTATATATGTCTATATGTCTATATATGCAAATGTGTGTATACACATATATTTAAACAGGTAACAATTGGTTGAAAA